GAAAATTGTATTCCTGCTGGAAGTGGTGCACCGCAGCATTATAGAGTGACAAACTACAAGGGACAAAGCCGTAGAACTGCTTGGGTTTCTGATGTGCCTATTGGAAGATTCTTACAAAAAGATCTTTCATGGTAAAGATTTTAATCCAAGAATCGTATTAATATTTATTTCATATCTTTCTACTAAAAAATAGCTTTTGTTTCCTTCTCTACTGTTAATTGTTCAATCAATTTTTTTCTTGCTTGCATAAGATCACGTGATTTTGTTTGCAGTAATAACTTTTATACATAGTTTTATTCCCAATGTATGCTTAGAAAATTTTGATACTGGAATCATACTAGTAGTGATCTCATATCTTGCTATGATAAAATGCCTAAGAAGGTGTTTGTGTGTCTTTCATTTTGGTTAAATTTGCAAAATCTGAAGCATATTCAACTCTGACCGGTTGTTTTGGGTTGACAAATGGCAATATTGATTTTGATCAATGTTTTGTACTCTGTAGCACTTAAACTATTTGAAGCAAAAAATTGTGAAAGCTGGTAAGAAATTTCTCTATCAGAAAAAAGGTGCACTATTATCATGCATTGGTTGGCTATTTATACGAAGTGTTTTGAAGCAGCTTCTGGAGATTTGATCAGAAAGACTGAATGGAAATGGATCTTCACTTTCTGGTTTATCTGTCATAGCTGAATTAATGATTTTCCATTGTTTTGGGATGCAAAATTTTAGGTCTAAAGCAGTATCCAAGGTCCTGCAGATACGCAGATGTGGACTTTCTGCACCTCCCCTTCATAAGAATGGGAAGCTCTTCAAAGTCATTTCCTCTCGGATGAAAGATAATCCCACAAAATACTTTGACTTTACAGTCATTGGGAGTGGAATTGCTGGCCTCCGCTATGCACTTGAAGTTGCTAAATATGGATCTGTTGCAGTGATAACCAAGGCTGAGTCTCATGAATGCAATACTAATTATGCTCAAGGCGGTGTTAGTGCTGTGTTATGCCCTTCAGATTCTGTAGAGAGTCACATGAAGGACACCATTGTGGCTGGGGCATATCTTTGTGATGAGGAAAGCGTTCGGGTATGTTCTGGACCTATTATAAATCTTTCTTACAAGTTACAAAAGCTATGTCCTGGAAGTCTAGAACATAAATCAATTACATCTGAATATGCCTTAAACTATGGAAGAATGGTTCTTATTAAGTTATTTTATGAACTGAATTTTCATTTTTTCAATGTATATTTCCATTTGCTGACAGTGATGTTCTGTACAAACAAAATTACATAAACATGGTGTTTTCAGTTTGAAGTGCAATTCATTTACTTGGTTCTTTTTGGCAATTGCTAAACATGAAATTCTAGCAATTCTAAGTTTATAGAATTAATACTAATCAACATTTTGCTTGAATTCTTGGTGAATGTTTGCTTTGAACATGCAATACTTGTCCATGTACCTATAGGTGATAAATAATGAATTACTTTATTGATTGTTTCATTAATTTTGATTCTTCCTTTCAGGTTGTCTGCACCGAAGGACCTGAAAGAGTCAGAGAACTAATTGCTATGGGTGCATCATTTGATCATGGGGAAGATGGAAATCTGCATCTAATGAGGGAGGGGGGTCATTCACATCATAGAATAGTTCATGCTGCTGATATGACTGGAAAAGAGATTGAACGGGCTCTACTCAAGGCAGTTGTCAACAATCCTAATATTTTTGTGTTTGAACATCATTTTGCTATAGATCTTCTCACTTGTCAGGTTTGTTCTTTCTGGGATTATAGTATCTTTTCTTTTGGTATACTAAAGATCTTGTAGCATGCATGGTGTTGCTAGTATACAGGTGACTGTCACTTGTTGAATATCTGAAAGTTTAAAAATTTGAAGTTCTAATGGATTTGTTCTTTTGAAATTGCCACGTTTAAATTTGACCTTAGAGCATTTTGAATGTTTTGACGTATTCACTAACTAAAGCGTGCCACTGTTGTTGCAGGATGAATCTGATATAGTTTGTCTTGGTGTTGACACACTGAATACTAAAACCCTAGAGGTGGGAAAAGCAATAATGTGTATTTTAAGAAGAAAATCACTGCCCTCGTTGAGTATATTTCCTGAAATTTCATTATTTTAGCTTTTAGGTGATAAGATTTCTTTCAAAGGTGACTTTACTTGCGTCAGGTGGAGCTGGACATATTTATCCTAAAACTACAAATCCTCTGGTAGTCCTCTTTCTCTAGAGCTTGTTTTCTCTCTTCTCTTTTACTATTTACTGCTTTGTTTATTTTCTATTTTATGTATTTAAGAACATAATCATGATGAAAATTGGAATATTCAAGCATGAGTTTATAATGCAGTTTTATTACAATATCTGAACTCATTGATGATAACATAGTATTACCTTGAAGTGAAAGAATTGAAAGTAAGTGACTCATTATTATTGCTACTAACTTATTCATTATGTGTCATTAATTTACTTGGATGATACACTATAACTTTATAATGCATGATTAAAGTATAAATAAAAATCAGTGGGCAATGCAGTCCACTTGAAACTAAAAATGTCGAGCTTGAAATGATTTATTTAGCCTAGCGTTCATAGTACTGAAATGAATTTTCTCATCTTGGTTACACCCTTAATGTGTCAACCCGCTTTTGCTGTGTAACATGCATTGTATGGCTACTCTTATTTGCATGTTAATTTGACTTACTTTTTCTAATCACAGGTAGCCACTGGAGATGGGATTGCCATGGCACACCGAGCTCAAGCTGTGATTTCGAACATGGAGTGAGTAGATTATTTCAAAACTGTGAATGATTACTGTTTAATGAATTTCTCATGCCAGTCATATAGAATAAAACCAAAAGTGCCACTGGATAAGAATGTTTGTGACAATTCTTGCTGTAATTTTGATGGTATAAGAGCATGCATAATCAAAACCAACACAAATGCATTTCAGAGCAGAATTATTTGAGAAACTTAATTGCATCCATATCCAATGCAGAAAGATCAAATAGAGAATTGCATTGGACTTATATTGCCCATGTTGGGCATCATTCTGTAGCACTGAACTATTTTATTTTTTTAAATGAATAGTTAAAACTTACAATGCTTGGAAGTTAATATGGGATGATCTATGTAATATTTCATTATAAGCTGCACATTCATCACCTCTATGTGTGTGTGTGATAGAGCTAATCAACTTAGGAAATGTCCTATTTCATTCTTGTGACATTGATTATTCAAAATCATGATTGGCCCAGGTTTGTGCAGTTCCATCCAACTGCCTTAGCTGATGAAGGGCTTCCTATTAAACCAACCAAGCCCAGGGAAAATGCGTTTCTGATATCTGAAGCTGTCAGAGGTGATGGGGGCATCCTTTATAATTTAGGCATGGAAAGGTTCATGCCCTTGTATGATGAGAGGGCAGAGCTTGCTCCAAGGGATGTGGTGGCAAGAAGTATAGATGACCAACTCAAAAAGCGCAATGAGAAGTTTGTGCTCCTCGATATAAGTCACAAGCCCAAGGAGTCGATTCTCTCTCATTTTCCCAACATTGCTTCCATGTGTCTCCAGCATGGTTTGGACATAACTCGTCGTCCAATCCCGGTTGTTCCAGCTGCTCATTACATGTGTGGAGGAGTTCAAGCCGGTCTTGAAGGAGAGACCAACGTTCAGGGTCTGTATGTAGCTGGTGAGGTAGCATGCACAGGTTTGCATGGAGCAAACAGACTTGCCAGCAACTCATTGCTTGAGGCACTGGTTTTTGCAAGAAGAGCTGTGCAACCCTCAGTTGATTGCATGAAGAGCTCTAGCCTTGATCTGACTGCATCAAATTTGTGGCCTAGACCTGTAGTGCCTTTTTCACTTGGAAGTAATGACACGGACAAGGTTCTGTCAATGACAAAGGAATTGAGGACAGAACTGCAATCCACCATGTGGAACTATGTAGGAATTGTTCGGTCCACAATGAGGCTAGAGACTGCAGAACGAAAAATTGGTAACTTAGAGGCTAAATGGGAAGAGTTCTTGTTTCAGCATGGATGGAAGCCAACAATGGTGGGGCCTGAGATCTGTGAGATGAGAAATCTCTTCTGTTGTGCAAAGCTGGTGGTCAGCAGTGCCCTTTCTAGGCATGAGAGCCGAGGACTACATTACACCATCGATTTTCCTCATCTTGAGGAAAGCAAAAGACTTCCAACAATCATTTTTCCAAGTTCATCTGTAAACAGTACATGGAGTTCCCGACAATTACACAAGCAGCCCATGTACCAGTAAGGCATCAATTTGTTTCACAATATATAAATAAGTAGATCTAATTGAAATCTAGTGAAATAAGAACTTGAAGTTAATGCTCATCAGCTAGAATCTAATGTCTTCTCTCCCCCTTATAGTTTTCTGATTATTTTTACTTCATTCGCTGTTTAAGTAAAGCAGGGAGTATATTCCATATGTAGGTTATTTGGGTCAATCTCGATCACATGTATCAATTTGACACTGCAATCAAATCTCTGATTTTGATTACTTTTATTTTAGTTCTTGTATGCTATCATGATTTTCCACAAACTTGATGTGCATGCTCAAGAAAAACATAAGCAGGTGATTAATACTAGACAGTAGACATCCTTGACGTGCAGCAAATTAGGAATGCCTTTGACAGGGTTACACCATTCTCAAATCGCAATTAATAATCAGATTATTTACAGAATAGTGTTACTACTTGTTAGACAACATAGATAGTGTTACAAAAGTGGTTTCTAATCTATCGTTTACTGTGGTAATCACACAAACTATAGAACATTGGAAAATGATAATTGCACATGTGACATGTGAGATATGTGTGCAATCTTAATCATTAAGAAAAATCTGAAATAGAACTCGAGTGCTGACCTATATGTGTAGGTTTCAAAGAGACATTGTTTAACCCTCTCTGTCTGCTTTTATTTCTTCTTCTCTGCTTCTGTTTATTCTTCTTTCCACAAGCTCTTTAAAATACTCCCTTGCTAGATCTTTCTTCCAGGCTCTAAACATGATCCTTCACTGTACAACGAAAATAAATATAGGATAAGAAAATAAATTGGCTCAAACATGCAACAAAGTTGTATAATTTCTACATGTTGCCAGAAAAGTATAATTCAATCACTACATTATTTTACTTTTGTTGATAAAACCAATGACTGTCAAAATTTCCGTGCACACCCCTTCATGTAATTCAAGAGATAATATGCGTTGTATAAATTGAAGCATGCTGTCCAACCTTTTTGGGATACAAAGTTTAACACAAGGATAAACAAGGATATATAAATAAATATACACAAAGTTTTCATTGGTATGATGTCTTTTGTGTGATGACTAAAACTAAATTTTCTAGAATTTAAGTCCAAGGTGGACAATATTATATCAATATGAAGGTGTGTATAAACACTTTTTGTATGATAACTAAAAGTAAATATAAGAGAGTTTAAGTCTAAGGTGGACATTATCATATTAATGTAAAGGTGTGTAAACATCTTTTGTGTGATGAATAAAAATAAATTTATGAAAGTTTAAGTACAAGGTGAACAATATCGATCAATGTAAAAGTGTGTGTAAATTCTTGGTGAACAACAATAACAATGTACTCCTTGAAAAATATATTGCTACAACAAACAAATGCAAAACATGTTAGGATACAAATAAATTCTCACATTGATAATTTGATATAATAAGAGAAGAAATAACAACTTAAAGTACACACATATTTCAATGATTGAAAGACTTTTTATGTGATAACCAAAAGTAAAACCCTAAACCATTAAATAACCTTATAAAAAAATAACAAACTAGTAAGGTACAATTACTAGGAGCTTGGATTATTGATAATTTTTGTACAAATCATATGACTTATAGCTGAGAATTCTTCAAAGAACTTAACAAAACTCACATCTCTAAAGTCCAAATGTTACAAATGCTAACAATTAGGACACTAAAAATAAATATACAAATCTCATGGGCAACAAAAAGAAGTCGACATTGCTGAAAATCAACAAGAAGAAGAAGAAGAACAATTACTTCTAATGTCATGCTTTATGACCAAAAAACCTCAAAAGCTTGGATTATTGATAGTGGTTGTACAAACCATATGACTTATGATCAAGAACTCAACAAAACTCATATTTCTAAAGTCCAAATGGGGAATGAAGCACACCTTACACTAAAAGGGAAAGGAACAGTTGTTAGTAAAAGTCATTCGGGTTTGAAATTAATATTTAATGCTTTATATTTTCCTGATAATATTCAAAATTTGTACAAGAGTTTTGCTTTAAATTTGGGGAAGGAGGAGCCAATTATAAATGAAGATACAAGTGAAGAGCATAAAAATGCATGTCTTCAAAAGACGTTTGATGATAAAGAGAAGAATGAAGATGATGAAAAACCACCTTCAAAAGAGAAGTTTGAGACAAATGTTAAGGTGGTCCTATTCAAGAAGAATTGTAACAAAAATCACAAGAAAAATAAAAAAAGAAAATGGTAAAAAAGAGAAAAGATAGATTTTGAAATTCAAATTCAAATTGGGTGATCAAAATATTTAATTAAGAAAAAGTGTTGGAAACATGCCTAAATACCTTTAGATAAATATAATAGTTTTGATAAGAATCTTTTATTTATGTTTTAAATATTTAGATTTAATTTATTTTGATTATTTTAGGATTTGTTTCCTTATTTTTAGAATAAGATAATATTAATATTTGATTTTGTATCACAATTTTTTTCTATAAATAGAGACCTCATGAATAAAATTTGATTATGCTCCTCTCATAAAAAATATATCTTTACAAAAATCAAATATAAAATAACCCCAATAATGTTATCTAAACTACAAGTTAGATTCAATGACAACCAATAAGTTATAACTAAAAAATTGATAAGTGATACATGATATATAAAGATAAATAACAACTTATAAAACATACACATACTTCAATAAGTTATGTGTAAAATAATCTTATTAAAAAAACAACAAAATAATAACCCTCCCCTCTTAATAAATATAAATATCCCTAAGATAAATACCATAAAATAACCCTATCAAAACAAACCCATCACAACAATATACTCTATACTCTAAATTGAATTTTCTTCCTTCATTTTTCTTTGATTCTTCTCTTCAACAATCAAGAGACTCGTTTCTCATTTTCATTATTCTTAAACTTAATTTTTGCCCTCCCATCTTTATCATTTTTTAAAAATCTTCTACATCTATTTTCCCTTTTTTTATCTCTACATCTTTGGTGATAAAATTGTGTGTAAGGCCTCCTGAATTTTTATTGTATTTTCTCATATATAACGTACCTTGTGGCAATGAATTAAATAGAAGGACCATTCATGGCCCATTTCATCACTGAACAACTGAACTGATGCTGCGAATCTCTGAGCATCATTGATAACTTCTGTCTGACCCTTCACCGCCAATCATTGAACCTTATCCTTCACTCTCAAGTTGCGAATCAATTTGGCGTTGCCTTCTCATTAAAGAAAGACAAGGAACAATAACATGCGTTTGAATGGTTAATCAAGACACTAGGATAAAGTACAAGCATTAATTAGTGCAAATAAATGATAATCATTGAAGAATTGTATGAGTTTCGTTCTAAATTCGTGCATATTCATATTATAAAACCACCCTCGTTTAGGACATCAAGCACAATTGATTTTGGTGTCTGCACTTGAGTTTGATAAAGAGGATTTTGCTTGCAACGTGTTTCAATTTCTTGTTATTATTTTGTGTTACTTTTTCGTGTACAAGTTATTGTTTTATGTGAAAATGTTACATACAAACAGAAAAGGTAGGGCCCAGTGACCCAGAGTTCAAAACCATCATCTTCCTACCTCTTATTTGATCTTGTCACTCTTTAGAGCATCTGCAATGGTTTCATATCACTGTTATATTAATTAACTCTGACCCATTTTATGGATTGCTTAAATTTTAGCAAAGTTATTTATAGAAGTAATTTTGCTAAAATTTAAACAATTCATAAAATAAGTTAGAACTGATATGACAGTGATGTGATACAAAAATTGCTTATAAATAATTTTCATTGCAGATGTTCTTAATCTTTTATTTTTATTTTGAGAAGAATAATTTGAGAGAAACAAGTTTTTATTGTGTATTTTTAACAAAATGTTAAAAAAAAAAGAAAAAAAACTGGAGGTTGGAAAGATTAAAAGGTTAAACTGACTTAACATGGAATTTAATTTGCCCGAAGCAACGTTGTGGTTAAAATTGTATAATACACTTCAAACGCTATGCAATGACAACACTTAAAAAAACAAAACATTGATCATTTGATACTAACATAAAAAAAAACAACAATTTTTTCATGATGAAAACATCTTGATCAATCTTTGTATGCCACATAATAAACTTTTATTAATTCTTCTCTATAAAGAATTCAACTGTGTCACTTGAAGATTGATGAGAACCATTAAATAATGTTTCCACACCATGTAATAATTTCTTATAGTATAGAGATTTCTAAAAGATAGAAAATGTTACTTATAATTCACGAATCTGTTATATATATATATATATATATAT